CATTGGATATACAGTCGCCGAGTTAGTCTATGGTACAACTCTAACGTTACCTGGTCAACTAGTCAACTATGAACCTACAACTCCAGGGGATTCTACTCACTTCGCAAGTCGCCTATTACAAACGATGCAGAATATTAAAGCAATATCTCCTCGTGAACACAACAATCGAGTCCAACTTAATAAAAACCTTGAAACGTGCAAATTTGTCTTCGTCCGAGTAGATGCGGTTAAAAAACCATTGAAACAACCATATGAAGGTCCATATAAAGTAATTAAACTCACACAAAAATACTTCATCATCAACAGTGATGGCAACAAGCAGACTATTTCTATAGACAGAAAAAAACCTGCTTTCTTTGAAGCTACTCAAGTCAAGGAAGACAACGCTGTTGACAATCAACTTCTCTCACCAGCGACTGAAAAACCAGTGGAAGATAAAAAACTTAATACTAAGCTTTCTTGTTTAACACGCTCCGGTAGACCTATAAACAAACCCAAGTGTTATGTCCATTTCGTCGATTAAAAAAAGCACACACCTACCTATGTCACACACTACTAATTTCACCCCAAAAAAAATTTTTTCCTTTTCACAGTGTACATAATCACATTTTTCAACAATTATTCGTTCTGTCACATTTATTTAAAAAAAATTTTTGTTACTATAATAAACGAGTGAATTCTATTTAATTACCCATTTATTGTACACAAAAAAATACATCAACAGTTCATTTTTTCGGGTCATTAGCAGTTTTGCACATTGTTATTATCATTGTTAGCCAACCATTAAATGACAGTGTCTTCATTTTGTGTGTGTGTGTGTGTTTATTATGCTATGCTACATCTCTGCTACTGGTCATACTCATCTCCACATTTTTGTTAGCTATAACTGTGAATATTATTTTTGTATACCTGTATATATCATAAACTTACATTTTTTTATATATTATAACCAGTGTTAACTCCGGACACTCTGGGGGGGAGCTATGTGGAGATATGACCGACAAACTTATTTTATAAATAATTTTTAATATTATTTGTATTTATTTTGTCAATTTTCCACTGTATGTATATTTAACATTAAATGACTGTACGTGTTGTTTCAGTCAATGACCTTGAACACACTTTCCGTTGTGATTCTAACATAGCGTGACATAATCTTGCTGGCTGACAAATACATTACTATTCACGCAACCCTCGTTCTATTTTCATTTGTGATTGAGTTAACGGAAGTCTAAATCAAATACTATCTACATTTATAGACGGTAATTGGAATATATCACATACAATGTCGGATTATATCATTAGAGAGTTCGCCAACCTGCTCAGAGTCAACAAGCATTTATAATTGTGGATTTACATTACTGGACCTAATCAGAACACGCAACGTTTGATCAATTTAAGTAACGTCCCTAATTTTTATTGTATTTGTAACAATTAATTGTATATATTAATATTACTATTGATTTTTAATAACTTTGTTTATACTTATCGCGTTCATATCTGTTTGGTCCACCACAACACCGTTGGATGCCTGGTCAGTGGTCTAGTTGCTTAAGCGCTCGTGCTCGAGACTGATATGTCCTGGTGTGGTGGACCAAACAGATGTGAACACAAAAAATATAAACAAAGTTATAAGAAATCAATAGTAATATTAATATATATAATTAATTGTTACAAATACAATAAAAATTGGGGACGTTACTTAAATTGATCAGACGTTGCGAGTTATGATTAGGTCCAGTAAAGTAAATCCACAATTATAAATGTTTGTTGATTCTGAACAGGTTGGTGAACTCTCTAATGATATAACCCAACGTAGGATTTGATATATTCCGATTACCGTCTATAAATGTAGATAGAATTTGATTTAAACTTCAGATAGCTCAATTACAAATGAAAGTAGAAGGAGGAGTGTGTGAGAACCATTGTATTCGTTAGCCAACAGCGGTATATCACGCTATGTAGTAGTACAACGGAAAAGCGTTCAAGGTCATTTACTAAAACAACAGTTACAGTCATTTAATGTTAAATATACATACAGTGAAAGGTTGACAAAATAAATACAAATAACATTGAAAACTATTTACAAAATAAGCTTGTCGGGTCCATCTCTACACTGGGTTCGAATCTTGCGAGGCGGGTGCGTGGATGCGCACTGCTGACGAATCTCACAAAAGGACGAAGCGGCCGTCCTGTACTTTCGGGTTTTCCCTCCTGGTCTAGCTTCAATCGACTCATGATCTCAACTATTGAAATTATATCCCATTGTTATTCACATTCGTTTTCATATTCAGGATACAACAACATTATTTTACAAGACTTATTTACGCCTGTTACTCTTCGTGGAAGGGGCATTTTCGCTCACCAGCTTTTTCCATTCAACTCTGTCCTGGGCAGTTCTTTCCAGCTCTTTCCAATTTTTATTCTTTTTTCATATCTGATTCTATTTCCCGACGTAATGTGTTCTTTGGCCTTCCACTTTTCCGCCTCCCTTCAGGATTTTAATTAAGTGCTTACCTCGTGATGCAGTTTGATGATTTGCGTAATGTATGTCTTATCCATTTACATCGTCTTTTCGTAATTATACATATTTATACATATAAACAGCTACGGATTCTGTCCTTCCGTCGTCCCCTCCGATTTAGCTCCTAACGTGATTAAATTTGGAATAGGAAACAACTGTTGAGGCTAGTTTAGATATGCGTGGTCTCACCTAGTCGAAGTGCAAAACTAAAAAGTTAGGTCAAATACGGTTCTTAACAAATATCACTACCCAATTATTCAACCAATATTCGTTCACTGAGTAATTAATTCAAGTTCAGCTTACAAATATTCCTGTTTGCACAAAAATTTTGTTCTATCCTTTCTCGGTAGATCGCGAACAGATTTTTTGAAAGATAACATTTAATTTCGTCATAAAAATGAGTTTTACCAGGTCTGAAAGTGTTTCAGTTAATAATGATAGTGTATGATTTCAGTCAGATCAAGCAACCCAACAGAAAAGGAGAATGAATCAATACGACAGTCGCCATAAATAAATATCACTTGAAACAACGTAGATGTAGTTCAGGAAGAAACAAAGAAATTCAGTGAAAACTTAACGAAACCTAAGCCTTCAAAAAATGAAGAAGAGTACTGTCTCAACTGAGTTCAAAATACCAACGAAACTTAAAGCTGAAGGACTCGAAAAGAACAAATCCCAAAACTGTGTTCAGTGTCATTAGCATTGTGCTACTTTGGACACCAGATACTTATGCTCTTCATCGAAAAGCGCTCCCAATTATTTCCTCAGTGTGATCTCAGGCTTGTAACCAAGGTGAGCTTTTTAGTGGCCCGTGGATCTGACTCCAAGATCGTACGAATGATTGTTATCGCCTATTCTCGTATATAATCGTCCACTTAATCGCGTTAGCCAATAACGGAATTAAATAAGTCGAATAACGAGAATTGATCTGTGCATACATATATTTTGTATATGAAGCGAATGAAACAGAGACAAGCAAAACGACACACAGGGAAGATGGCTGGGAAGCCAACTCCATTTTAGTCAAGCGTTACCCAATGTTTATAGTCAGACAAAAATAAGCTACAGACATGCATGAGTCATGGGATATGGTGTGCACACACATATACGCTCATATAAAAAACAGTGAAGACTGATAAGCGAATAAATAACAAGGTCAAATTATGGCTCAAGTAGAATGAATAAAATGGGATGTCTGAAAGCTAGAATAAGGTATATGGGCTTGGCATAATGACTGACACTACAGCTTGGACGCCAGCTCAAACTACATATAGATGAAGCTAAGGCAGACTCAACTACTAAACTTATGCATAGGCAATTTAGCGCAATCACCCTAGAGCTGTTCGCGACACTGTTTCGAGCGTACGCACAGCTTTATCATGGAGTCCATGATGTCGTTGAGCCACCTTTGTTCAAATTAGATAAATCTCCTAAACCATATATGGACACGGTCAACAAAGTGCTTGATAGGTCTAGATCATAAATCTTGAGAATATATGCTTAAAAGCCTTGTATTATTCTCGTGGAGCTACAGGAGAATAATAGGTGATCTGATAATGACACAACATATTAAGTACGTCAAGCCACCTCAATGCGAGTATTTTGCCAAAAGACCATCAACACCTTCGTCGAGGAAACCGTCGGGAGATCGCAAATAAAAAACGAATTGTAGTGTATGTATGAACTTATGGTCCTTTTGTACTTGATGTCTGCTTGATTTCGAATCTCAAGAACAATACATTCGTTTGTGCTCACCTAGTTCATCTTGATATAAATTGCGCGATTTCTAGGATTCCTGGCTCGTATAATAATTCAAATACTTCTAATCATCATAAGGATACTTAGATTTTCTCTCACATTTTCCTAATAAGAGTTGTTCCTATTTGGACAAAGTGACTACAGCTCCATCAGTGGAAAGCTTTAGAAGGACATCAGAAAAACAAAATAAGTAACGGATTATCAACTTTGTTGGACAGGTGTGTCTGATGCCTCCTTCATAAATTACCACAGTTGTCACTACTGAACACTGGTAACCATTTCGTTTATTTCTAGTTCGCACTCCCGCCTTCTCAAACACTTCGATCTTCCCAATATGTCCGCATTACAAACTGATTAACTTACATATCATTCTTGAAACAATCGGCTTCTCTTTGAACGAGAACAATTATTTTATTATCTTAATATTACGAGCAGTCAACATTATGATTGATTACATGATTGCTGCGGGTATCTGGAGACCCTAATATTCTGAGACAAACTCGTTCACTCAAATTGCAAGATTTTCAAGTCAAAAAACGATTACCAAAATAACAACAAATACTAAAACAACGTTACCAGATTACCACCATTTAAATGTTATAGAGCACTTAGAACAGTAGATAAACAATAGGAAGCAAGCTTAAGGATAATCAGTTAGTTTGCACAAGCTCAATACGATGATATTGGACACTTCATACCGTACGTGCGCCAAGCATAATTTCAAGGTTACATCAAGGCTAAACAGTCCAAGAGGAGTGTGAGTTTAATTAGTGGGATTCATCTTTTGTTCATTGTATAATTGAAGTTTAAAGTTTTAATTTACATAAGTGGCACGCTTTTTTAACTAATCAACTGGCTTATGTAAAAGTATTGTTTTTTTTATAACTATTTAGCTTCAGATTTTCAGTGGAATTGTCAGTTTTTCGTTATTTAATGCTAGGCTGACACATTAAAATGTGTCTTTCCAGCTTTGCTGAACTAGTTTTGCGTGAGATTGGCCGTGATGTCTTCTGTAAGGTAGTGGCACGACATATGTAGTAATTTAAATATGTTACTTATCACTATCTGGTACCAATGTCATCATCCACTTCTTTATTTGTTTCATGAACTTACTGTGCTGTTACGTTTTACGGTTTGCGTTGGTGTTCTAAACGTTAAAATGTAGATGTTGGCTACTTTTTGTGTTTATTTGAGATGCGTAAATAATAATTTCGACGAATATTGAATTAACGATAAAATACTTGTTCCAAGTTCAACAAATCTCTACAAATATGTATTTAGTGAGGAAAATACCATTTCAGCTCGTCGTCTATTTCTAGACCCACACTGATCGCAACATAGATCAAGTAACTATGAGCTTTACAGGAACGTTTTTACCTGCAAAACCATAATGTATGAACAAACAATAAAATAAGAAACAGTAGTCCTTAGGTTTTGGTGTGAGATTCATTCGTCCAATACTTAAATGACATTTTGGGATTTTATCTGGTGTCCTAAATTCAAGCTCGTAATCTTAATTCCTTATACTAATTCATTACTTTTCCGATCCTAGAAAGTTGATGGTTCGTCTTAAGGTCACTTTAAAGTCGTCCGAACGTTTTCCAGAAACCTTAGTTTCACCAACCGGATCAATCTGAAAGATACTTGAGTGGGCCTTATAGTATTCTAGCCGAGCGAACAGATAACGGTGATTGTTTTCTGAAATTATGCTTGGAAAGCCGATTATTTTTAAGAATAATGGAATTTAAGAATTAGAAAAGACATTGGTAGCCCCTAGCACCAACCCAGTAATAGATATAAATTGATCATTCCGCCATCACTAATCGTTAGGCAGGATCGATTAAAAACTTCCTTTCCTTCTGAAGTACATGCTTGAACTTCGATCATAATTCAATAGGATTTCGTTTATCTTTGAGTTTTACTGGATTCAGGGGGGCCACAGCAGGGAAACCATTTAGGTAGTAATTTAAAGATGGAAAATTCAGGGATATAGCAGGGGGGAATTCGATATACACTTGGTCGATTGTAGAAAGAGTTTATCCTGAAGAATCTTGAAATGATCGGTAAGAAGCATTATTATTTATTTATTTTAACACATAGATATTGGTACAGGGAGGCACCAAATACATATGCGCCACACAGATCTCATTTGATATATGTGAGGGCTGTGATACTGCACGGATGCCCAAACCGAAGGTGGTTTTCTTAGGGGACCACACCCGGAGTATTCGACCTAAAGGTTTGATCCACAAGTCAGTGGGGCAACGTAAGGAGATGCATTCCCATGGTGACCGGTGACCAACGGTTGGTTCATACGCCATTTGTATCTTCAGGACAGTGGAGCCAATGTGCACCATTGGTTTGGAATCAGGGTTTTCCAACTCCTCTAGGTGGACTCTCCATGTCCATCGACCCGGTTAAAGCGCCAGACATTCGCTTTTCGTCCTCTCAATAGTAACAGTTCAGCTGGCCTCCATATATGTTATAGTTACTCACTGTCCCAAAACTACCTGAAATCACACAAATGCTCTAACCTTTAGGTTGCAATTGTTATAGTTAATCTAAAGTAATAAAAATCAGAAGGCCCTGATAGATTAATGCTTGAGATCCCTATGAATAGCCGTCAGATTTTAGCTGCTGAACTGACTGAAATACAGGCTAGAGTTTGGGATTATCAAACATTCATAAACCCATCAACCATGAGACTAAACCTTTTATCACTTTAAGCATCCGGATTATGTGTTATTTACGCCTTCATACTTTGTTTCCTTAAATTTTATTTAATTAGATGCAGTATCTTTACAGTTATGTAGATGTATGCTGAATGGTTCCTTATCATTTTTATTTTGTCTACTGAAATGCCTAAAATATGAAGTTTTTCAAAATTATATGCTTCTAAAATTACAGGTTGTGAATCGTTGATGTAGAATAAATACCTACCTCAGATTTTAGTTTACATTTACAATGCCAACGCAACACATTGCTCTGGCATTATTCTTAGTTCTACTGGCAATCGGAGTCATCATTTTGATCAGCATTTTAGTTATTGTCAAAAGACGTATAGCTCGACGAAAAAGCCGGATAGGACGTACTACTTATAATTCATGTGGACATGGCCTACCAAAAGTAAGATAATGTAAATTTACTTGTACTTTGTCGGTTGCAATTAAGTGATTAAGTCCCTCATTTTCCTGAACTAAGTATTCTCGATAAACTCGGTAAACTGACTCGTCATAGGTTATTATTGTCTGGACAAATAAGTGGAATTGTAGAAATAAAGGATTATGTATCCATTGGACTCTTAAACTAGTTGTTTATTGAGTCGCAAATAGTTATCCTTCAGAAAAAGCTTTGAAATAGTTTAACAGTCGCTGGATTTTAATAAGCTATGAGTGAAATGAGATGTAAGATCAAAACATATCTAGCTTTGATTCCAATATTACAACTAAATTTTTTTTTAGTAAAAATAAAATATGCTTTGTAGAGGTAGTAACTGTTATCTTAAAACCACATAGTTATTGAGGTAAAGTTGAAAATTGGTAAACCAACAGGTATTTTTAACGTAGTTTTTGACTCAGGAACTCAGAGATCACTAGTTACAATCTAGTTTTGACCAAGGTATCCTAACGACTTTTATCATACTCGTCACGTTAAAGGGTCAACTTGTGCTCTTCAATAATTTGTACTAAAACATAGACTGTTTTTATTCATTTTGGAAATGCTTTTTTCATAACTCAGTCTTTCCCGACTACTGATTTGTATGAGGCTTGTATAAACTGCTTTAGTACCTTTAAACGGATTCACTGCGTATCTGTAGTTAATTATCTTGGTTACCTAGAGTGTTATTTTTCTGGTGGTCAAAGATTCATTTTATAACTAAAGTAATTTTCTCTTGTATCTCCTCTATTTGACTGTTCTTATTCTTTTTGTTTACTAAATTATTGTAAGCCAATGCCTCCTATGCCTACTCAAAACATGAATAAAAAAACTCAGCAAACAAAAGCTTATGCTTTCTTTTATCAATCTACTACCTTGTTGAGCGAAAAAAAACCGTATATTGTATTGCATAGTTGTAGTCCTATAATAAAACCCCTCTTTTTAAACATTGCAGTTTTTAAAAACCAATTACAATTCAATTCCCTTGTAAGGGTTTGAATCTTCTTATTGATGTTAAGGACTACAATTGATCAGTTTCTAGGTTGATCATCTCGATATTTCCATTAAGTTATAAAGACTTTTTAAACAGAGTTCGATAGTAACTAACTGGATTAGCTTTTCGTCCTATTTGAAACTAGTCAGCTGGATACATCTGCACCCCAGATTTTATTTTAGCACCTGGAATCGAACTTAGTACTTTTCGCTTCTACCGTCCAACGCGCCAATCGCTTAGCTACTGAGTCTCGGTGGGGACATCAACATTGTAGTCCATGCAGATTCAGCTGACAAGCCTTATATAGGACGGAACGAGAATTTTGAATTCCACTACTAACCACCAGTCAACTCTATATGAACAAGTACAATCTATTTTTAAGGGTTTATACTGAATTGAATCTTATATTTCTTCATTGATTTACGATCCAAGGTTTGGAAATCAAATATTGAGAAAAAAATTAATGGCACTGTGAAAATACGCACTGAACCTCAGGTATTCGGTCCTCATTATTCTGAAAATTACGATGTCTACACTTCTACTGGTATGTTTAATGTAACCCAAACATCAATAATTTGGCCTATTTTCTTTATCATATTACAGGTGAAGTAACTTTCCTTTATCGTGCTAAAACAGTCGATCAGTTTCTCATGTTAAGTAGGTTGGTTGTTGAATTTTATTTTTTTACTTTTTAATAAAAATAACTTATAAACGTTAATTTGTTGCTTTTTTTTCTTCCTCTTTTTTCTGTTTTGTATTTCAAATAGAACAAGCCATACTTTCTTTAGATTCGACATTAGAAGCTCCTCCATTAAGAGATATACGTGATTTCTTATTGACAGCTCGTCATAATATCATGAATCCGCCACCATCTCGTGATCACATTGAAGAATATTGTCAACTGTATTTATGGGCAAGACATGATTTGAATGTACGTAAGTTGTTCTTTATTGTTCTCTCTACTACTACTACTACTGCTACTACTACTACCACTAGTACTACTGCTGCTACTACTATTACTGCTACTCCTACTCCTATTACTTCTACTCCTCCTCCTCCTCCTACTACTGCTACTACTACACTCCTACTACCCTACCAGTACTACTACTACTACTATGTAGTAGTTTAAAATCATTGGAAAATACATATTCTATAAATGTTGGTTTCTCTTTCTAGCCTTTTGGTGAATCAGAATATAAACGGTTTTGCGAGTTGCAAATTAATTTATTAGAAATGTAAGTTTACATTTATAAATTGTATTAATCTCTTCTTTTAATTTGTATAATTTGTTATTTTATAAGTTGACTTTCGTTACAGAATGATCACAACTGGGGGCACCGTTGAGAACTACCAGAGAACACCAGCAAAATATTTCATTTTAGTATAGGGCTCCTCGTAGGAAACAACCACTTAGTACTCCCTGATACCCAATTGTTCCCCAACTTGTAATCGATTCATGACAAAAAGCGGAGAATATGTTCAATGAATGAATCCTAACTTATTCCCTTTTATATTCTCTAATTAAGAGACAAGATGGAAAATCATCTCAAATGAGAAAGGTATCGGCCTCTTGATTTCTGAAAAATCTCAGCTTTCACTGTTAGGTGTCGTAACTCTTTTATGTAAAGATGCTTTGACTTCCCGAGTAGAGTCTAGTTGGTTTGTTCTACGGTGTTGTTATAACAAGTAACTATACCAATATTTTGTTCTAGATACAATACTGGTATGCAGCGCTACTCACACAATAAATGAACGAAAAAGAAATGCTGGAGTTACTGGAAATCGAACAATTTTTCAAACACTGAAAAATAGATAGGTGACTTCATATAGGGCAACTTGATTTAAATTTTAAAACAAACTATAGGCAATTATAACAGTAGTTCTGTGTATAGTTACTCTTAATAGTTGTTTACGATTTGTTAAAAATGATACAAAATGTTCTTTGGTGTGATGACATAATTTCAACATAAAAATATATCTACGACCTCGCCTCGCGAGACTGATTGGTCTTGGGTTCGAATCTCGCGAGGCGAGGTCGTGGATGCTCATTGCTGAGGAGTCCCACAACAGAACGAAACGGTCGTCCAATGCTTTCAGGTTCTCCATGGTGGTCTAGCTTCAATTGACTCATGATTTCAACTATTGAAATTATTGTAATATCCACAAAAAACCCTTCTGAGATAAAGTATACGTTTGATAATTTCGTTTTCATTGTATCACCATTATTATTATTATTACTATTACTATTATTATTATTATTATTATTATTATTATTATTATTGCTATTATTTTTAATCGTTCAAGAGTCAATCGTACAAAACCTTGGCCTGTCTATTCATCAGGTGGTACCAATACTATTGGTCAGTCATCATCCGAACAGCCATCAAAGATACATAAAAGAAATCATTCAAATTTTAAAATTAATTTCCCATCATTTCTATTTAAGGCAACAGAACATTCACAACCTCGTGTTGTTCATTCAAGTGCTTCTGTTACAACAGTAACAACTACAATACTATCGTCATCATCACCGCTAACAACAACGATAACTACAAGTATTGCATTATCAACACCTATATTGTCATCACCATCAAAGTCTATAGTTAATCAATCACGTCCAACACGTGTTAAAGTATTATCCAGAACTGGACAACCTAGCGGTTTAAATTTAAAACGTTTATCTCATTCAACACATCGTAAAAAGCGTGAATTATTAGTTTCATCATCTGAACATGAAACGCTTACTAAAAATTCACATTTAATTCATCCAACTCATGTCTTTACAAATGATGTCATCGGTGAAATTGATTCCAATGTAGATTTAACTTTATTAAATAAAATCGATAGAATGGAAACAAAAACTGGTAGTTCTTCACATCGTCGTGATAGTTGTCAAAGTGATGGTTCACAAACAGCGTTAATTGATTTAGAGCCTGTTATTGTTGTGAATCAATCTAAAACATTATCACAACCATCACGACAAATGAAACTCAGTGAACCTTATATTATTCAACCGGATATAAAAAATCTAACACGATTTAACAAAGGTGAGTATGTATAACGCATTATTCTATCGGTTGTTATTCAACTACGGGTTATGTATGTAGTTACGTTGTCTCTCGTCTAGTAGTGTTTCGAATAATACACACCTGAATCAGCTTGATATAAATAAAAAAAGTTGGGAAGAAGGTTACATTATCAGAGGGCGGGTAAAACAACTTACTTACGTTTGTTACCCATCGTGGAGGAGCATAGGCTGCCCTCCGGCATTCTCCATAGAACTCTCTCCTGGACAATCATTTCCAGTTGTTATTGATTCTTTTGATGTCTGCTTCCAATTTTCGATGCAGTGTGTTTTTTGGCCTTCCTCTTTTCCGTTCCCCTTCAGATCTTTTGTGATTTTGATTGTACAAAAAATCTGCATTATTTCCTTTGTACTATTTAAACTTGTGTTAATTTAATTCGGTTATTTATTTACTTTGAGGAAGTGGCTTACATTGATTTACGAAACGTCAGAAGTACAATTTTTCTACTCATTGGGATATAACAAAAAATAGATTTATTACTAATGATAGAGATAATTATTCTCATTGGTAAACCACGTTTATGCAGCCCGTGGGCGTTAGCCAAATGGTTCGAGTTGCTCATATGGTGTGCGCTACTGATGTTGACAGATATAAATAGTATGTATCACCATTCAACAGTAGAATGACTGGCAGCATTAGGTTGAGAAGATCGAAGAGAAGAGAACGGGAACGAAGAGTAATCGGTATGGAAATGAAGGAATAACAGAGTCTGAGACAATTGGTGGATATTTTGCATATGTAGTATTTACTGTATGGCTCTCAGATTTTACAAAGATATTCTGTAATGTACTAAACTACATTTGGTGGTCACAACACTCATACCACTGACATGGTTATTTCGACTGTATTAATTTCCTTTTTTTTCAATTTACTATCTCAATATTTTGACATAAAACGTGTCGATTGAAATCGATACACATTTGTAACAGGTTTTGTATTAGTTGTATCTTAGGGTTTGATTGGAGGTATTCTGCTGGGAATGCCGCCTAATCCAGATTTCATTCGAGGTGTGACTCTCCATTGGATACTGACTCTGTGATCCATCTATCTCTCTTGATTCAATAGGTTCGTTTCTTATTTACGTTTACCCGAAGTCATGTGCGCAGTTGTTTAATGGTTACAGTATGACAACCAACAATTAGTAGGTCGCAAGTCGGAACGCAACTCCCTGATTCTGCCTTCAGTCCATCGTTAACATAACTAACTATTCACACAAAAGGTTTATCTCAAACTGAGTACATAAACTTGTGCCTGAAAAATCTGTTAAATTTCACTTTAATTATAGGTTAATGATTCGTAAGACCTGAAGATCTTGTGTTGTGGCCCATGTATTATTGTGAGAAAACCTGTTTATCAGTTCTTAAACAGTATGAAACCACTTCAGTCTTTATGAGCTTTTAGTGACTGATCTCTCTCACACATACATACCTCCAGGTAATTTCGTTTACGAGTTTGAAAGCAAGATAGTCGTCACTAGTGACATTGGATAATCGGCGTAAATTGATTAAAATCGAAGTTTGTGCCATTAGGTTCAAACTCATTGGCTTAATTACTAAGTTCCTGGGATCACTTGTATGTCATGGTTTTGATCACTGATTTGGCCGTGGGTGCACATTACTGAGTAGTCCTATACTATTTATTTAAATACATACACCAAACAGATATGCACCAAGTAAATCATTCGATTTGTATGAGGGCTGCGATACTGCCCGGGTTCCCAAATCGAAACAGGTTGTTTGCTTAGAGGGCCACACCCGGAGATTCCGACCTAAAGGTCTGATTGACAAGGCAGTGGAACAACGTGAGGAGATGCAGTCCCATGGTGACCAACAATGGGTTCGTACGCTATTTGTCCCTTCAGGATGCTGGAGCCCATATACACCACTGGTTTGGAATCAGGGTTTTCCAACAACCCTCTCCGTGTCCACCAACTTGGTTAGAGCGCCGGACATGTGCTTTTCATCCTCCCGATTTCGTAAACAACATCCTCGCCATGAGAAGGCAGTGAGTAGGACTTCCCATTCAGTGGTTGTATGCACATGGTCATTTGAGAGTATTTCAATAGGTAGAGCTGGCTCTCCTTACTCTTGGTTGTACCAGGGCATTTGTAGTGCAAAACAGATGTTTAGTACTTCATAGTTTTACAAGTTGTTTAGTTCAATTTGAATCTGTGAATAATACCATTTACACTAACTCTCTTAATTATTTAGAACTTGAAATCTACTTTCAGTTGTATAATCATCTTTACATTTCAATTCTTTTTTTTCAGGTATGGAAAATCAAGGTGTAAATTGTTGATTAATTTATATTGTAAATACATTTTCAATTGTTACAGTTATATTTTCTTCTATATTCTTATGGATCAATAATAAGTAGTATATATCTGTATAGTCAGTATTTAAGTAGTATATCTAATAATGTGTAAATATTTAACGTTTTATTTTATTTATTTTTTTTTAAATTTTTTGTAAATCTATCCCTATTTAAACATTTGTAAATAGTAAAAATCATCTGATAGTTATTTATTTTGACCTTTACGAATTTCAGTTTATTTTTATGAGTATCTCTGAAGTTCTACTACGACTTATTAAGCTTCGCTTTCAATCGTCGAGAGATTATTTCAGAATATAATTGTCACACATTTAATCACTTCTGTATACTTGATGCTTAATTTCTGTCAAACTATTCATTCTAATCTTGGCGAATATTCTTATACATTATATGATGTAAATTTCAAGAGTTCTACCTGTAATCAATACTCAAACTCATGGTTGATTGAGTTAAGAAAATCGTATTGTTTTTTTGATTGAGATCATGAACCGAGTGATGTTAGACCACCATTGAAAACCTAAAAGTACTGGACGGATGCTTCATCCTATTGTGGGACTCCTCAGAAGTGCGCATTCACGATCCTGGTTGCGGGATTCGAACCTAGGGCCTTCAGTCTCGCACGTGAACGCTTGAACTCTCGATCACTGAGCTGATTGGCATCCAATGGTGTTAACGTCTAACTGTTATAACTTGTGACCGCCGATTAATGTGCAGTGACTTATCGACCGGATCAAGGACGCGTAGAAAATGTGCGAGCAGCCTAGAATCCTGATTGGCCCTGCTCCCTGCCTAGCCCAGCCAGTTAAGTCCAGAACACCAGTTTCAGCCTCTGCAATATAAATATTTTATTTCAAATATTCTCGGTTTATATATCAGCCAGACAGACCACAACGTACCATAAAATAGAAAATAACATTTGTACAATATTTGGCCAACAGGAAAATGATGTCATTTCAAGTCCAAGGATATGGGATATTTTTCTGAATATCAACTAATCCACAAAGTTCTCAGAGTTCTAGTGAGAAACCGTGATCACTGGGGCTAATCCATGTCCTCTATACAATGGAAAATGATCGCGCAATTTCATGGATTGGTGACGTTAGACATTATTTACACCATATTTAAGATATGGTATCAATCCATGAAGTCAATAATTGTGTTGGTTTATGTAGACTTTCTGGTTGTCATAAATTAATGTTTACGTAGTTATTTGACATGAAATGAAGTCTATCGCATCAATGTAGTTATTGTATTTACTCAGTATGTTCCTTCTTAAACTTTAGGTTTATTGGCATTTCATACTGCTCATTCGACTTTTCCGAAGCATGTATCAAGAACTTTCTACCATAGTTAATACTATTATTTCTACTTGGTTCCTCATATTGTTAGATTTGTTTCCTTGATTCAACAAAATATGAGAACTTGAGTGAATACAATCTTTTACTAAGTTTTATATCGTCTATATTTGACTGATTTCTCTCCAACGTACCATTTTCGTACTGTATATATGAATCTGAAACCGTCTAGCTTAAATTGTAAATCGCTGTCGTTAACACAAGGACTTTAATGCAAGTATTGCGGGTAACAACTTCATTACGCAATTTCATTTATAACCGGAAAAAACTGATTATTAAAACGTTCATGGTTTTTTGTATTTGAGTCGAGTGTATCACCTGATAAAGTATGACAACTTTTTAATTCTATTGATCTAGTCTACAATCTAGTGTTAAGTTCTACTAATTGAATTATCTTTCACCAAGTATCTGATGCTGTTTTGGGGTCTCAACCTGAAACCTGCTTACTTACAAATTTGATTGTTGTAAAGAATATGTACGTTTCATTGTGATTATAATGACGTGAATGTATGTACCGGTTGTTATCGATTCTCAACATTATCTCATGTACTTTTGTATGAAAATGTTTTTTTTGTCAATTTGTTCCCATACAATTGGTTTTTCGTTGAAGTATTTGATCAATCCGAAGTCAACAACATCGGGATAACAATTTTATTTATTTTAACACATAGATATTGGTACAAGGAGGCACCAACTAGATATGCGCCACACAAATCTCATTCGATATGTGTGAGGGCTGCGAAACTGCCTGGGTGCTCGAACCGAAGCAGGTGGTTTTCCTAGGGGGCCACTCCCCGAGCCTTCGACCCAAAGGTCTGATCGACAAGGCAGTGGAGCAACGTGAGGAGATTCAGTCCCATGGTAACCGGTGACCAACAATTGGTTCGTATACCATTTGTTCCCTCAGGATACTGGAGCCCATGTGCACCATTGGTTTGGGATCCGGTTAAAGCGCCGGACATTCGCTTTTCGTCCTCTCATTTTCGTAAACAACACCCGTGGTGGAAGAAGGAAGTGAGTAGGACTTCCCTGGCCGAGGCTATATATGCGTGACCATTTGAGAGCGTTTCGAGAGGGAGAACGGACTATCCCCACTCTTCCGTACCAGGGCATTTGGGAGCGGATAACAATTTAGTCTATAAATTCCTCTGTTTTCTATTGAATGGGATTGAGTGTTCACATGTCATCTTAATTTCTTTGATGTGTGTGGAATATAATATAGCATGAAACTGTTAATAGGAAAGATTGGTGAAACCAACAATAAGGTTAACACTGATATAGAGCTAGTATTATAAATTAGTTTCATTATTGAATATGTACATCTGGCTTTGCAGATGTATGGGACTGTTATGTCTATTAAAGACCAAAAACATACACGTTTTAGGTACGATATTTTTGGTGCAACAAATGTTCAGAAAGGCCTTTCCCAATTATTTTCCATTGTTCACGTATGGAATTTAGATTGATATCATAAGTGGATCAATGTTAGATCATCGTTGAAAATTTGGAAGCACTGGACGACTTTTTTGTCGCAGTATGGGACTCCGCTATGGCAGTGCCTATCTACGATGCCTTACGTGAGACTTAAACTCAGGAACTTCGGTGACCAGTGGAGTTCAACCATATGTGTTGTGAGTCAGTTACTCCCTGAAGACAATGTTGTACGGTCACTCCGTATCGTAGATCGGTTGAAGTTAAACATTAACAGCGTTTAATGCCGGCTCAGTTTTCTATAGGTTAAGCGTTTGCAAGCGAAACCAAAGGTTCTGGGTTCAAGCCTCGCGTGCAGGATTGTGAATGCGCACTACTGGAGAGTCCCATACTAGGATGAAACGGCCGTCCAGTATTTTCAGGTTTTCAATGATGGTCTAACACTGATCCATTCGTGGTGTCAATCTAAACCCAATAATCTCCACAACCTTATACTAATAAATATGAAATTGAAAAGTTATTATATTGTGTCGAGTGGCTTAGTCAGTTTTTTGGTATTCTGACTTGTATCGGTGAATATGGTTGTTTCTAGGACTACATGTACCATACATCTACATTATTGAGTCAACCACGCTATTTAAAATGTGATAAGTATGAAACTAGCATTCAATATATATACCAAGAATTTGTATTTTCTTGTTATTTATAGTGGATCTAATCAATCTCTGTCAACATATTATGTCATGAAAGTCTTGAATGGGATACTTTGATAATGCTTGTATTGTTAAGCTTAATTTATATTTCTGAATAGTGACTAACATTCAAGATTTACGTTTCATACTTTTTAACACTCATTAACTGAATGAACCTGAATCCTTGTACATATATATAAGACCATTGATTAGTGTTGATTAGCAAGAGGATTTGTCTACTATAAATAATGTGAGGAAGACCCACGGGTGAACTAGAGGTATGTCGGATAGAGCGGAAGATATTCCATTCAATCATCTTTTGCAAGAATATTCCAGAATCTCTACATGTAGCTGCCCTATTGAACAAATGCTATTTTATTATTTATTTAAACACATAAATATTAGTACAAAAAGGCACCAAATAGATATGCGCCACACAAGATACTTGATTTGTGTGTGTGCTGTGCCCAAACCGAAACAGGTGGTTTTCTCAGGGGGCCACACTTCGAGTTTTCGACCTAAAGGTTTGATCGACAAGTCAGTGGAGCAACGTGAGGAGATGCAGTCCCATAGTAGTCGGTGACCAACAATGGGCTCGTACGCCATTTGTTCCTTCAAGATACTGGAGCCAATGTGCACCATTGGTTTGGGGTTAAGGTTTTCCAACAACCCTAGATAGACTCTCCGTGTCCACCGACCCAGTTAGAGCTCCGGACATGTGCTTTTCATCCTTTCAATTTCATAAACAACAGTAATACCGCTTGAACGTAGTGAATAGAACCTCTCTGACAGTGGCTGTATACTCCTGGTCATCTGAGAGCATTAGGAGAGGTAGAGTTGACTCTCTTCACTTTTTAAGGGAGGACTATAATGATGATTTCCTATAAATACCTGACAGTTTTCTACCATAATTGACACTTTTAAGAATAGCATTCCTTTTCACTTATCTTCTATCTTTTCATTTACAACTTGGAAGAGTTTAACGTTCCAGTGCTCACATTGTACACATGTAAAATTGGATATATATATAGCAAACCTTTATTATATTTAATGAAATAAGTCAGTATTGATTTTATCGGTAAATACCCAAACGTACAATTTATATAATCATCATTATAACAAAAGTTAATAGTTAACCATTGATACAGAATCATTCTTAACGATAGTCTAATTTATCTTAGATATCATATACAAGAGTATTGTTTATACTCCATTCATTGAATTGATCCATACTAGACAGACTACTGAAGAGATGTATATAGATACTCATTGACGTTTGTTTTTTAAACTGTTGTTTCATGTATATATTTTGTATTATAATTTAAATATAACCATGATCTGTGATCCATTTCATGTGTATTATTATTTTGAAATAATGTTAGATCAGATTTCCATGGAATAAAATTCCAATGTTCATGTTTCCATAATTTCATTATTGATGATTGATGATAGTTAGTGGTAATATGTTGAAAACTTTTACTTCTTATCAAAGAGGAATTGGTGTTCAATGGATTAGATCCAATAAAATGTCTTGATTGATTCATGAAAATAAAAGAATTTTGTAATTATTTATTAAATGAATATTGGTGTAGTATGATAATACTGTTTGTTATATCTCTATGAGAATAATATAATGGTAACTGTTGGGATCCATTTATAGACCAATACTATACGTATATTCTTATGGTATAATTGTTAAGTCGATAAACTAGGCATATTCATATTCCTCTTATTATAAGCTTGGTGAGACTCTAATTTATGGACGACCTTTGGACGAATTTAAGCGACCTTGAGAAATATTCGCCAATCAGCAAACAGTCAGTATAGAGTAAAAATATATTATACAAAACCAAGGAAATAAAGTGGATACACTTCTTATAAGTGGTTCAAAAACTTGTCAGGGTTGGAAAGAGGTTCAGAGGTTCTAAAATCGTAATGCATGCAGTAGAGGAAATCATCCACACGACTATAGAATAGTCGGCCTCTGGAGTCATAATAAAGTCTCAAATACTCTTTTAGCCTCGACCACATAGCTTCAATATTGTTTATGTGCACTCCGGTTGTTGAGTGAACAAAATGCCACTTGTGAATAACGACACAATGCGCATAACCAAGACTATGTAGGAGTCTGTACACTCTCCAAACATCCGTATGTATTGTAGTACCTGGCTGCAGTCAGTGTTACTGGTGTTTTTATTATCCAGTTCGCAGTAACTGTCGTGATTTTCCTTAGTTAGGAATTATATATGTGGTTTTCATCACGAACTGACACCAACTATAATGCCAGAAATATTTTAGCCAAATGGATGAAAGGCTTTCGCGCTAAAATCCGAGGTCTATTATCTTATACCTGATTGATTCGTCCACAAATTATAGTCTTCCCGTTTTCTTAGCCGCTCAATTATCACGTTTTGTACAAAGTTCCCTGTGAACCGATCGTACGTTAGCATTAAGCGCTGAAGTTAGCGCCGTAACCCTGAAATCTCTAAGACGCTTCTGATTGGCTCGTCCATAAATTGGAGTCTCGCCCTATCTCCTACATTCACAACTACTTTTGGTTAGATCTTGTATAAATGTTGTTTCCTATTTTATGGTACGATGTGGTCTGTTTGGTTGGTATATAAATCCAGTATGCTTGAAATATACGATTCATATCGCGGAGACTGAAATTGGTGTTCTGGACTCAATAGGCCGAGATAATCAGGAAGAAGGACCGATAAAAACTCTAGACTGCTCGTATGGGTTTTATGCGTCATTAGTCCGGACGATAAATCACTGTTCTCTAATTGGCAGTATCATTATGATTGATAGTAATTATATGGATAGACAGATAGATAGATAGATTTAGACATGAGAAAGTTGACATGATGTGTATTTCAGAAATGTTTATCATAAAACGATATGTGATCTATTTTCAGAAACGACTAACAGTATCAATTGATAAGAAGTTTTAGCGAGACTATAATTTATGAACGAACCAATCACGTATGAGATAACAAGTCTCGGATTTCGGCGTAAAATTCACTCATCCATTTGAATAAATAGAGTTTTAGCATTATAGTTGACGTTAATTCATGATGAAAACTTTAAATTTAATTTCTAACTCTAACCATCAACTGTAAATCATAATTCTAATTCCTCACACAAATTTATAACCCTCATTTGGTCCTAGTTACTAAGTGGATAGTCTTAAGGTCAGTCTAGCGTCGCTAAAAGGTTATCCATGAATTATAATCTCATCAAACTTTTTTCTAAATTTGATCGAATAGTTTCACAGTATGTGAACGCCGAGTTGATGTGTGACATTAAAGAGGAAGAATGTACTTATAGAAATCTGAGCGAGTGAATTTGAAGTGAATCCAATGTTTCACATCACCACATCTCTCTTATACATTTGTATAAATACCTGATTTAAACATTGGTAACGTTGATTGGATGACCTATTCAAGTATACAGTGAACCGAATACCTATTTATATTCGATAATTTTGGCCGTTTCATCCAGTGCTTCAGGGCTTTTCATGGTCTAGCTTCAATTGACTCATAATCTCAACCATTGAAATGACTAATATCCACAAAAAACCCTCCTGATATTTAGTGAAAATTGTACAATAACTACTAAGCAACTACTCTAGTCGTGCCTTAATTCTAACATGACTGTTAACTAATTCTTCGTCATTCAAAAGTTGATCTTATAAAGTAGGACCGAACGGCCGTCCAGTGCATCCAGGTTTCCCATGGTTGTCTGGCTTCAACTGACTCATGAGTTTAACAATTAACTAAAGTATTACGTGAAGCATATAATCCATTTTGATAGTTCTTTGAATCAGGGCTAATTAAGATGACTGAGATCTATATTGCTCACAAAAAAATCGTAACCTTCCATGGTAACACTCAGTTGTCTCAGAAATGCAATAAACAAGAACTGAACACAGTTAAACTAATGCAGGATAACCATCCATAAAGTAACTTATAGTGAACTTGAATTGGATAGTCGGTATCAACTAAACAAAAAAATTCTAGTAGTTCGGTTCGGAATTTATAGTAGCTACTCTGTTCTTTTTCGTCTTCATTTGTCCTTTAAAATCTAATGCCGTATCACCAACAGACCGTCTAAACATGAATCGTTGAAAGTAACCACATGATCCGGCACGTTAATCTAATAGACGAAAGTGTGTACTAACAGATGACTTAGTACTAACCAATCTCACGTTGTTCTCTTTTTATCACTGACAGAATTATATTGACTGATCGCTGTAAATACTTCAGTCCTATAAGGAGTCATTCCTAGCCCCATTAAGCCGAAAAGCAAAGTATTAGGTTGTGAAACTAAGTAACAGCAAATATGAATCCCATGGAGGGAAACAATCTACTTAAAGTTATTGATATATTTTAATGCTGACGATTGGTAACGAACACGAAACGCTAACCGTTTGCCTACAAATGCCCTGTTACTATCGAGGGTGGTGAAATTCAGCTCTACCTCTCAAAATGCTTTCATATGGTCATGTACATACAACCACTGACAGAGAAGTCCTACTCACTGCCTTCTCGTGGCGAGGGTGTTGTTTACGAAATCGCGAGGATGAAAAGCAAATTCCCATCGCTTTAACCGCGTTGATGGATATGGAGGATCCACCTAGGGTTGTTGGAAGCCATTGATTTCAAAGCGATGGTGTACATAGGCTTCCGGATCTTGAGGGAACGGATGGCGTATGTACCAATCGTTGGTCACCGGATACCATGGGATTGTATCCTAACGTTGCTCCACTGTTTTGTGGATTAGGCCTTAAGGTCGAAGACTCCGGATATGGCCCTCTAAGAAAACCGTCTGCCTCGGTTTGGGCACCCGGGCAGTATCACAGTCTACACACAAATCAAGTGACTTGTGTGGCGCATATGTATTCGGTGCCCCTTTCTACCAATATTTATGTGTTCAGATAAATAGAGTGAATACTATCGAGTATCCGATCGATTGGCCTCAACCACTTAGAATCAATTTATTTGAAACTAACAAGTTCAACTTTGACATTGATACTTACAATTACGGTTATTATTATTTAATACCAATGTGCATACTTTATATCATATTAGTAGACATTAATACCAATGACTTCAGTTTTCGCTATCTGATTGCTTCAACTATAAGTCCCTTTTGTTGTTCAATAACTTTTTGAGCCCAGTATGCAAGTTTTGATTATAGCACTACTCAGTCGTCTACAAAAATCATATTTATGATAAAAAAAAATCGAAGGTGAATTAACCGTATTTGAAAAAGCCATTCTAAACTACCTTCCTTGTATCAAACAAATAGCTTACTAAGACAAATGAAGTGGATAAATTCCTACCTCAATTTTCTTCCAGTTATATTTGCCAGTTTACGTGTATATGCTTAAACCCATGTGCATCATTAGTTTGGAATCGAGGATTTCCAACAACCCTTAGTGGATCCTCCGCATCCACCAAGGCGTTTAAACCGACGAATATTCACTTTCCTTCCTCTCAATTTCGTAAACAACAGCCCCTCCTTGAGAAGGCAGTGAGTAGGACTTCTCAGTCAGCGGCTGTATACGTATGACCATGTGAGAGCATTAGGAGAGGTAGAGTTGACTCTCCCCACTCTCGGCTTTATCAGGGTATTTGGGAACTTACCATACTGTTTCATTTTGAATGAATAAATTTACTACTCAGAAAATGATATTTATTGTTAAATTAAATTCAAGCTAAATAGGTCATGTCCATTATTTAAATAAATTTATTTTAATACAACATATCCGTTTCAATTATCTTAAATTTAGTCCGTGAATGATATACTTGGGTTGACCCGGCTATGATAGTTAAATCATTTGACCATTTTTATTCTGACTAGTTTCCTAATGATTCATATAACTTAAATAGGGAAGCAAGGATTCCTATTAGACTACAGATAAACTACTATTGACAGATGCTAATTACCAGGACAACTGGGCAATTGTATCCAAGCATTAAAATAATCAATTTGAAAACAAATCAGAATAACTTGACGACTTTTTTTCATATTTTGAACTTTGCAACACTCAGTTCGGGTTCTAATTACCGATTCATTGTGTGAATATACTGCGAGACTATGATTTACGAACGAGCCAATCAGGTATAAGATAACAGATCTCAGATTTTGGCGCAAAATTCACTCATCCATTTGGCTAAATAGAGTATTATCATTATAGTTGATGTTAGTCCGTGATGAAAAACCGAAATCTAATTCCTAACCCTAACCATTAATTGTAAATCATAATTCTAATTACTCACACTGTTTTGTAACCCTCATTTAGTCCCAGTTACTAGGTAGATACTCTCATGGTCAGCCTAGCGTCGCTTAAAAATCGTCCATAAATTATACTCTCACCACTGAAGTTTAAGTAACACTTTGAACATCATTTTCACTTTATCAATTATTTAATTAACTCCATTTTATTATCACCAATATTCATGTACCTAGGCCTATACGTCACATTTTGTTTTACTTTCTAGCTAGGCTCCTCAGATCAAATATACTGGAATGAGGT